AAATTAAAAAACGAAAACAGTCGCCCCTTCCATCTGAAAAGAGGCTTTTTGTCAGCAGAACCATTTTAAAAAGGCGTTCTTCCGAAATTTGAATCCTAAGTTATTTGTTAAAAAAAACTAGATCTAGATAATTTCACAATGATTTTTTCCCCACAGATAGGGTGACTCTGTTCCAAAAGTAGGCGCCTCTCCGAAGAGGGCGTCACCGAACTTTAAGGACGCTTTTGTAAATAGGCTCAAAGAGAGGAGTGAACCATCTTGTAGTGTACCATCTTGTAGTGAACCATCTTGTAGTGTACCATCTTGTAGTGAACCATCTTGTAGTGTACCATCTTGTAGTGAACCATCTTGTTGTGAACCACCTTGTTGTGAACCATCTTGTAGTGAACCATCTTGTAGTGAACCATCTTGTTGTGAACCATCTTGTTGTGAACCACCTTGTTGTGAACCACCTTGTAGTGAACCATCTTGTTGTGAACCATCTTGTAGTGAACCATCTTGTAGTGAACCATCTTGTAGTGAACCATCTTGTTGTGAACCATCTTGTTGTGAACCATCTTGTAGTGTACCATCTTGTTGTGAATCATCTTGTAGTGTACCATCTTGTAGTGAACCATCTTTGACTTAGGCAGACATAATATTATGCACCGTGTATAAAACTCTCAGGTGGAATCGACAACTCAGTTTTGTCAAAAACTGGATATTACTGTCTTTTAAGATAAAAACTCCAGTACACATTATGTCATGCATGTTTGTCTCAAACTGTGCCAAGCTGTCTAAATATAGGCTTCCCCAAAAAATATTGATTTATTATGTGATGTTTTTTATGGACAAGTGCACATGTTCCCGGATACTGTATCGGAAAACAGGAAGGCAGAAGTAATCGTTTACACGAAGCAGAATGACGCAAGTGGAAGTAAGAAATGGTGACAGGAAAATTATAAAGCGAAGGCCACACGTATAATTTCAGCTAAATTTGTACAGTGTGCGATAAATAATTGGTCGCTTTTAAGCACAAGGGGGTTATCCCGAAAAATTTTGTTGTGAGAAAATCGAAGGTAAAGTTTTTGCCCCTTGTTCAGTTTCTTCGTGGAGATTAACTGAGTTTTCTCTATAACCGAACAAATATACACACCAATGAAACCAAACTTCTCCTATAGGTAGGGCAATGCCCACTTTTAGTGTAGGTCAAGATTTCTGGACCCCCCCCCAAAAAAAAAAAAAAAAAAATTTAAA